ATCGATATTAAGTGTTCCCAACACTGTTCCAACTTATACCTAAAGTGACGTGGCGCTGGAGGTAAGTTGAAAGTTCAGAATCTTGGCGGTTAAAGGGTTAAGCATTATTCGTATCAGCTGTGTTAGCAAAAAGGAGAAAAATAGTATTTCGAGAATTACCATAATATCTGATACTGTCACTTCAGGACTGGTTCGCGATGATTTTTATTCAAATATGTATAAATATAACTAGTTTGTAACATTATACGTAAATTCATACTTTAACGACATTTGTATATGTATTATTCATGAAAAAGAATAAAACAATCAAAGCGAGAGGTGGTTGTAGAAATTTGGCGGTAAATTGGGATGTTGTAAAGATTTAATAAGATAGAGTTGATGTTCTCACTTTCAATGGCAAAGAATCGTCTGAATCGTTGAAGATATCTTTTTTTGAACAAGGAGTTCAAAAGATATCTTTGAAAATATCTTATGTGAAGTTCTCTCGAAATATATGAATGAATAAAAATACTCAAGTATTTGTCTCAGTTGAATCATTTATTACAATATTTTCCTTGTCATAGTTTCTTCCTGATGATGTCTGCTAATAATCCATTTATGTCGGAGTTTTCCTTATCTACAGCACCGTATATAAAAACCTGTCCTGCGACGTTTGCTGCTTAGACTACTACTACATATCTAATTATTAAACGTAAAATTGTGAAACTTTGCGAGGTGTCTTTGACAGTAGCACTTACAACGACTAGACATACAAAGAAGTCAAATAATTCACATATTTAATTTAATTTTGTTTTTATTTAATAAATAATACCTACGTTTCTTAAGAGCATATTTAAATTATTCTAAATAACCTCGATACCAGGTTATGTCTAAATCCTAAAGATATTTCTCAATTCGTTCTTGTGAATGAATTCATACATATCCTATCGGTGGCTTTGCCTGGATGCATATGGAGCATGGATCTCCGTATTAACTAGTTTCAGTCCCCGAAAAACTTTAAATCTTTTTTATTCAGAATAACTTCCAAGTCCTCTTAATCATGTCAGCACCTTTTTCTCCAATCATAATGGCTGGTGCGTTTGTGTGAGCAACTATCGTCCTCGGTATAATACTGCTGTCAACGACTCGTAGATTACTGACTCCGTACACTCTCAGTTCTGGGTCTACCACCGCCTCAGGATCCGTAGGAGGACCCATCTTACACGTCGTTATTTGATGATGCAAAGTCGCAGTCACTGTCCTTACAGCGCACTCCCAATAACTATCGCTTCCAAACTCATGTTGCTTACAGTTCGGGAATTTCTTCTTGTGCAATGTTGCTCCGTATTTCTTGAATGGCGGTGTATCCACGAGTTTGATGATATACCTTATTGCAGCTATCATTGTGTCTACGTCTTGTTGATGTGTTAGGTAATTACCATATAGAGCAGGTTGTTGGTAAGGATCTGCCGATTGCAACTTCAAATAACCTTTTGATTTAGGATGCAGTAACATAAATAGGACAGTAAAACTTTCAACGTTTTCTATTGGTTTGTAGACATCATTGTAAAGCCAATCGGCCATACGTATACCTTTGGCTACAATAGTTCCTTCATCAGAAGCTAAAGATGCACAGGATCCTAACAATTCAATGTCTGGATAGTCGCCAATTTCATTAGATATATTCGTTTTTATGTATCCAATAGTTTCGACCCCGGCTAAAGAAGACATGGGACCATCACCATATTGATCGTACTGGAGTGTATTCTGTATTGTAGCAATTTTCTTCTCGACAAGTGTTAATCTCGTCTGATTCAAAGTAAATGCTAAAGCCGGGAAGGAAATGTGATCATATAGTGATTCACCCACTTTCAGATCTTGTATTACGGGTATTCCAAAAGATTGCAGTTGTTTTCTTGGTCCTATGCCAGAAAGCATTAGTAAATGTGGTGATTCAATAGGACCTGCTGACAGTATTACTTCCTTGTTGGCTCTGATTTGGTACACTCGTCCATTTTTATGGAATTCAACACCAACCGCTTGTTTATTGACGGGATCTATAATAACTTTAGTTGCTCTGCTGGATACTAAGATGTGTAGATTCTTCCTCTTTTTGTTCTTATGTAGAAATGCTTTGGCACTGCTGGCCCTCTGCCCTCTGGTAAGCGTTGCTTGAATATAATTGAATCCAAATGCGTCTGGGCTGTTGTAGTCTACTCTGCGATGACCGTATAATTTCGCTGCGTCCAGAAAGGCTTTAGATAGTTTAGATCTGAAAAGATAGAAGAAAATACATTTGAAAGGCTGAAAGATGACGATGATGTCATATTTAAAAACGACTTCAGCAAGAACGAATGCTGTTTTATCTGCTGATAAAATATTTGAGTATCTTTTTTTAACAAACACTAGTAGGTAACTATATAGGTGTCAAATCGGTCATAGTAATTGAAACAACTAATGCCGAACATTTACTCTGCACAAATGTTTGAGCAATGTTACAATGAACTTGGTTAAGCGTCAATGTATATATCAATATTACATTTTGTTTATGAATTTGATTTTTTTTTCTTATTCCAAGTATGTTTTGGAATATTCATGTTCTGATAGAGATTACAAACAATTAATATTATTCGCAGGGTGTGGCCTTATTTTTATAAAATGATTAGTCTTTTAGTAAAAGATCGTTTCCACACTGAATGTGCTTCATGATTCATGCAGTGATAATAAGTATTCGTATGTATATATCTAACTACTTGCATATGTACACTTAAATTTCTAGGTATTGTGTATATCTTATCCTACAAGTAGTGTAAGTGATAATAACCTGAATGGGATGTCTTCCACGGAGAGTTCACCGTCTCGTCCATGCCACGGCGAGTTTCTAAGTCCTTTCAGATCTGCCCGTTCTGATTTTATGTAGTACGGTATAACATCGTTATATGACCTGTAATATCAAATGTATGGTTAGATAAAAATATATTTTTAGAAGATTCGTGTAGTCTTTCGGTTGTGATGTTATTGCATATTGAGAAAAAGATAAGACTTTACTTTATGAGTGTAAAAATGTTTTACATACATACATAACATCACGCCTTTTATCTCCGAAATGGTAGGCAGAGGTGCACATAACGGCACTTAATGCCACTGTAATGTAACACCCACTTTTCACTATTTATGTTTATGAGTCCCATCTAATAGGGGGTGAGCCTATTGCCATATATATACCGGACCCAATTCCAGACTCTAACTATTAATTACAGAATCTAAAAATGTTTTAATAGTTCAGAAATATGATGAAGTATCTTAACTTGTATTGTATTCTAAATGACGGAAATAATAAAATGTAGCTGTGTCTCATCGAGAACATTTAAAAATCATAATTATGCGATCACAATCTCTTGTTTCATACGAAGTATGTGGATGTGTTATGTAATGTTTAAACACATATTTAATCAATTGGTTAGTTTACATTGTCGCTTGTAATTATAGGCCTACAGCTATTCTAATTCTAATTGCAAATAATTTGGTAGCAATAAAACTTGTGTTTGACGTATAAACCTTCTTAAATGTTGATTTTATCCGTGGTTTTCCTCACTGATATACTGCAGCTATTTGTCTCAATTGAACGGAATTTGAATATTTTTATTATATCACCCGAAGCCTCGAATTACATCGACCACTTTGGCGATATATTAAAAAAGGGTCAAATTAAAAATGCCCTTAACCACGAGCAAGACTGAAAAGATTGACGACTGATGGTTAGGAAACCGAAACAGGTATGTAAGAATCGTAGCAATTCGCGTTCCATAATCTCTGCCTATCCCTATGGAAGACAGGCATGAGATTATGTATGTATGTATATATGTATGAGTAACAATTTGTTCTTTGTTCTCAGGTACGTTCCTTTGCAATACACACAATGTAAGTGCTGATTGATGGTACTCATAATTGATGAAGTTATTTGAATGTAGGCTCACCATCCATAGTTGCCGGCTGCTGCGATCCTGTCCCAATCCTCCTGCATACCTCTGGTGTAGATCATGTAGTTGACCACGCTTGTTCCACCCACCGCTTTACCTCTCGGCCAGAAGCACTTTCCATCAACCATCCCTGAAAAATTCAGAACGCAAGACTCAGATATTGGTATGAATGATAATTTCTTCATTCAGTAATGAAATTAAACTTCGTTATGTTGTATGTAGTTTTAGATTGTATCCTGTAGCAGTAGTAGTAGTTATCCTTAAATAAAATTGCATGTTTTATATATTGTAAGGTAGACGACAATATTAAAAGAGGATAATGCGATAATACTTACATATACTAGGTTATTTCTAGCATATAAAGTTTGTCTGATAGTTGAGATGTAAGTCGGAATACATTATTGTTTACAACCAATTAAATATTACATACTTAATGAGACTGTTTGAGTTCTAGACCTTGAAGTATGAGTCAGATTATCAAAAAAGTTTAATTAACTTAAAGTCTTACCTGTGCAAACTCCTGGCTGGTATTCCATGAGGTAAGGCCAAACATAATTAGTTTGTTGGAGCACCGGTGCCAGAATTGGTACGTCCGTTATCAATGACTCTCCACGACCAGCTTCTATCAGGAGTACAGTAGTCTTCTTATCTTCCGTGAGACGAGAAGCCAACACGCTCCCAGCTGATCCTGCTCCCACGATTATGAAGTCGTATTCCGATAGAGGTCCTTTGAAACCTGGAATTGAGTTAAAGATTTGATGGAATTGAAATGGATTTGTCAACTTGTTCCTCAATTGACGACTGATTTGATTAACCATACGTTAATCAATCTTAAAGGATTAAGAAATAAAGCCAAACGTTTTATTTCCTAGTTTGAATGCTCTTTAGTATTTCGACGTCCTAATTGATTTTCCAAACTGGGGGTTTAAGGGATCCATTCTACGATTTTTGGACACTGATATGTATGTATCTGATTAAATGAATGTGGAAATTTTTTTCATATTTTGCAATTGAAAGAATTGGCTACAGAAAGCTTTAAGAAGAGACGAGTGGAAGGAAGGTAGGGAAGCCTTTGCCCTGCAGTGGGATGACCATGGATAAAAATAAAATTAAATAAATTTGCAATACTTCTTCCACAAATACTTCGCTCGGACATAAACTAAAGGGAATTAGTGCTCCTATGGTTTAGTTCTGCGGATATCCCTACACAAATTGCCGTCACTTATTTAACTACCTCTAATTTAATGATACATATTTCTAAGTCTAAAATGACAAAGAAGCGACGTCCTACTTCCTACTTCATGAGTTACTGTTGCCCAAGGCCGCTTCCGTATGTTTTCTAATTAGTCATTAAAATATGCCATAAAAAATTAAGGAAGGTTGGCAACAATAATCCGGTTCGGTTTAAAATTAAAATGTTATTGTTATTATTTACATAATTTACATTTCAGAAGCATTGTTCGTCATAAGATCGCTTGTCGTTTTGTCACTCTACCATTCGTTTCTGTTTTAAGTTGTTCGCAAAGTTTGAAGTCGTATTTTATATCGTAGTATTCGAAACGAGTACGCGTTCGGCACTCTGATTGGCCGGTGCCAATGAACCGACCAATCAGAGCGGCGAACGCGTACTCGTTACGATTACTTTAAACGTAAATCAAACTCGTACTAAAGCCTCTGCATAACAGTTGAACAGATTTTGACGAGATTATGCATCTGGCCTTGATAAGCACCAGACCATATTTTATTGTAAAACAGGTGCAAACATGTAAAATATTGTTTACCTTTTGTCGAGATATTGATATGTTTGCGGTGAGAAAGCTTATCGATAGATGGTATTCTTATCTTGTACGACACTTTGTTATCAAATATTTATTTAAAATTCCTTGTCAATTTCTTTCAAGTACGTTTTGATAACTCATAAAATCACTTTTGGTACAATTCAAGTTGGAAAACAACCATTCGAAACAACCTCCTCCTTTTTTTAAGTCGGTAAAAACTCGTTAGTAGCCTGACAAAATTAAAAAAACTTCAGCTTTATAGTTTTCTTTAATTGAAGCCTTAACTGTGTGATGCGCTGGCCGTCTGGACATTTTATGCATGAATCATACATACTGCATGTCGCATCATGCCTGGATTAATTACTGCTGTTTATGAAATATCTGGGTCATGCACTCATCAGTGTAATTTAGGTATTAAAAATGTACAAAGGACTGTTTTGAAACAGTAATCACAACTTTCTCATCATCAAACTTTCCGTGTTTGCCGTGCACAATTAACATTTAATGAATGTGACAGTTATGAATTTGATCAATAAATGTAATAAGGATGATGACAGGGTATGAAAATTAAAAATCTATTTAGTCCGTCCAATGATATTATATTAAATATCATTTTATTAGAATATCATTGAGTTCGTCAGTTAAATAGTGAAAAAATATTAGACACGTATTTTTTTATTTTGTCGTATAAGACTTAAATAATACAATTAATTGTACTCAAAAGTCATTTCAAATCAATATAGCTTCGAAACTATTCGTTTCCGTACGTTCGTTCGTATTAGTCATCTACCCTATTACTAATTGAGATCAATTTATTATTAGATATCGTCTAAGGTATTCGGCAATATGCTAAACTATTGTAAATTGGTTTATTAAATGCTGTGAATGACTTTGAGAAATGTGAACAAGTAATTTACTTCCTTGATTGACTGACATCAGCTTACGCATACGGCACAAGATGTTATACATTATATTATTTAAACGCTTTAATCGTATAATATTCATATGCGCAAATCTACGTTATTAACGAATTGGGTTGCTAAACTGATCACTACGTTAAAGAAGTAGGAGATAACCACGACTGTCTTCGGTCAAAATATTAGGAGGTCATAAATAAACTATAGAGGTCAATATCGCAAGTTAAATAGAATTAAAATTCTTACAGGAATCCAGAATCTGAAATAAGGGCTCGTACACAAAACTGCAATGCGAATTCGCAACGCAAAAAATTACGATGCGAATTGCTGCGATGCGATTTCGTGCAACAAGGCGTCTCCCAGGGTGACCATTCCTTCGACGACCGTCAATCGTACTAAACGTATTTTAAATTGAAAACTCTAGGTTGTGACGTGGATCGTAAAAAGAAGTGGGCACTTCTGTTATTGCTTAGGAGATACATTAGGAGATTCGATGCGCGATGCGATTCAATTCGCAAGTTCTTGTGATGCGTAGAGGGAACTCGCACATTTCTGCGATGCGACGTCGAATCACTGTTTTGTGTACGAGCCCTTATGCCTGGTGTGAATGCGTGTAATAAGCTCCTTATTTCAGTGCGATGTCATTTATGTAAAATAACAATTAATACAATCTACTGACCACAATACATTCGTTATAAAGAATTAAAAATATAAAATAAGATAATTAACTGTCGCTTCCTGTGATTAACACCATTCATTGCAGTTTTAATCGTATTATGCGCTCATCGAACTTAATTTGCTGCGAAATTTTAATCAACTACTGTCAGAAAGATGCTCATACATGTCATCAACGGTAAAGGCGCTTTAATGTAAATAAATTATGAGAAAAATGGTTTTAAGTAAGTAATAATGGATTATAATAATGAGCTAGGTACCGCGTACCTACTCAATATTTTTTTTGGAATTAACCCACAGTAGCTTTTACTCCCGTACTGTGGCTGAATTGAAGCCCGCGATACGTTGTGCAGCAGCACTTCCTAGCCACTGCGTCAACTGTGCAGTCAGTCGGTTTATATATGTAGTTCTTAAATAGCTTTTCAGCAATTAATTTTGTTAAAATACATCCTGCCGGTTTTTGGCTATAAAATGTTTATTGAAACTATGATGCGAACACTAAAAATCTTCCAAATACAAAGTTAGTTCCACAGATTAGCAACTTTTTATCATCTGCCAATTTGTAAGTAAGTACAAATTATTTAATACAAGTTCATTGACTCTATGTACTTAGTTTTCCTTTGTATGACTTATTTACAGTTAAAGTAATTGAGAAGACGTGAGTACTTGACTTCATATGAATAGAACAGAACAGTTAGACAAACGTGGATTGTATCGAAAGCACGTATTGTAAACCTTAATGAGTGTTTTCATCACGAAGGATTTGGCAGAGAACCTTCGTAGTACCGTTTTCTCCAGTTCTAGGACCAATTTTAAATTCTATAATAGTATTCATTGAAATCGATAACTCGCAATAATACTTTGCAGTATCTAAATTATTCTAGATCAATGCATCACGTTGTTCACTTCAGAACAATAAATAAACAATATCACGAACAATAATTTGGCTAATAAAGGTTGAATTATCCAATAAACTGAAAAAAATAAAGGCATTTTCAAAATAACTTACAAGCCCTTGATCATAAGTGAAGGTTGATACAAAAAATTATAGCAATGGCGTAAATAAAAAAAATATTTAAAAAGTTGCCCCACAAGTCACACACGATCTTGGTTTTTAAAAATATAACAAAACCGGTCAATATAGTCTCGAGAATATTATCGGGAAATACATGTAATGACAATTTTCAAAATGGTCCTTCTAAGGACGTTAATACAAATGTACCTAATAAGTGCATTCTCTAAGTATTTTGATGACAGTGATGCGTAGGAATATTACAACGCCGGAATGTATCTTTTATGCATATGAATCAGTGGCGTGCACAGGTTTTCCAGACAGGGTAGGCAACTAAATATCGTATGATTAAACCCCTCTCCCCCCGCCGGTCATACAATCATGCTCACACAAGATAGGTACATGTACATAATACATTTCGAAAAGTGCGTTCAAGAATATTGTGGTGTATTCTTTTGCCAAATTACATACACTGACAACTCGCGTATTTTTTGTGAAGTACTTCATCAGCTATTGAATAAGCCAACAAAACTTACAAATAATGAAGGATCTATTATTTATTTTAATAATAAGGCATAAATTTGATGAACCAAATTTCATTATGGAATTGTTTAGTTTAATCAATCTGTTCAAAATCATAATATATTACGAATTTAAGAGCGTAGGTACCTACATTATGTCAACAAACAAAACAATAACAAGCGCGGCCGGCTGTGGCCGAGCCGGCCGAGTCTATGCGGTACATATGTTATTACTACATTACATAATTATTAATAATAAATTAATATGTGAATCAGTACAACCCGAAGTCTAAGTTGATATTTTTAAGAATTATCAAACAATAAACAAGAAA